ATAAATGAGGCAAAAACATATTTTAAAAAGCAGCGCTGATTTATTTTATCCTGGGCCCAGGGACACAGTGCTGGTGGAGATTGCAAAAGCTGTGTGGTTCCTCTACACTTGCCGCCCTTAAGTACATATCACAGCTAACAAAGTAAAGGTCATGGGCTTGGATCAGGAAATGAGAAAATCCTTGATCCGCTAAGGAATGAGGAAGACCTTTTTTCCCTTAGCAGAGAACAGAGGAGTCTAGCAGTAATTAGCAATCTTTTGTTACCTTATTTTAGCACCACATCTGTTATTTGTAGAGGGCAGCAATGGTTAACCTACCAATTAGGTTAGGTTTTACAATTCTTTACAGAGGAGAGCATTGATTAACATATCAGTTAGGTCACCCAGAGGAAAAGAAACATGCATATAGAACAGTAGGCCACATTACAGGTATTTTGGTATAATACAAATATAACGAAGCTCTTTTGCTAGTGTACAACAATAATAATAAATTCAATTTTAAGATATTGTATGAAGAATAGATCAACCGTTGAAAGAGCTGTGTAGTCTGTGTAGTTCAGAGAACTAATATTTTCCAAATGACCAATGCATGATGTAACAAGACCAGCATAGATCCATTCAAAGTACAGGATAGAATGATAGATTTCAGTGTTCCAAAATCTCACTGATGTGTGTTTACAACAAAAGGAAAGATTTATTTTTTTATAGTTTTTGGAGGTTTCAGTTCATACTTAGTTGGCTCCAAGGCAGGGTGGCATGGCAGGGCCGCAGTTCATGGCGGCTACAAACAGCAAGGCAGAAACTGGCAAAAGAGAGCAAGACATGCCTTCTTCCTGCCATTACATCACATCCTGGCTCCACCCCTGGGCCAGTGTAGCACTCACACCCTCAATCCATGTGCTAGACAGTGAACCACTCACAAGTGCATAATGCAAATGCATGAGACCTGGGGACCACTGACATAAACCATGACAGAGAGGGTGTGGCCCATTAATAGTGAGATAATGATCTCTTAATACGGGATTTCTCAAAGTGGTTGTCCATTTACATGTGAGAGTAAAAAGGGATTAGGCAGACCTGTTTGTGGTTGAAAGAGCTAGGTTTGTTTTAAGAGAAGGAAAAAAAGTAAATCAGGCTTGTGTGCTAAAGCAGGATTTAAAATATATATATTTTAAATATATAACATATATTATTTTATATATTATAATAAATAAAATAATAAAGACAATCAAAATAGTGAAAGTGATACAGGGTTTCAAAACAAGATAAGAAATAAATAATGGCTACCATAATATACCTTGTTATCTTTGAAATAGCTGCCCTTGCCATCAGATATACTTAAACAAAATGAATAAAACCAAACAGAATAAAACCAAACCAAACAAAACAATGAAAATGATACAAGACTTTGAAACAAGATAATAGGGAATACAATGGCTACCAACACCTTCAGAAGAAAATCCCTCATAGTAGCTGTATTGTATATTATTAACCTTTAGGTGCTTAGACTACTGGCTTTAGCCCTGCAAAGTCAGTCAAACACTAAACACTGTAAGCATTGTTTTGTTTGTTTGTTTTACTTCAGTAGCTTATCTCAGCTTTTATTTCTCTGGATCAGCCAGTTGCTTGAGGGGTGGAACTGGCTTGGCTCTTGTCTCCCAGCCCCTGTGCTGGCTGACTCACAGGAAAGGGCTGGCTTCTTCTTTCTCCTCCCAGTGGCCCAGGATTCTTAAGTATAATTTTTAAAATTTTGATTTTTTTTGAATCCCTTTTTTACTTAAATTTTTTTAATCCTACCTTACTAATACTTGATTTTGATCATTCTCACCCAAATGGTAAAAGCTGTTAAAAATCAGAAACAGAGCCAAAAGCATAGCTCAGAAGATTGTGTGATCTTTTGCTAAAATTTAAGAAAAATCAGATCAGTAGTCTGGTCACACAGAGGACTCTTTCAAGAGGTTAGGATATGTTTTACATCTTAATCCAAATAGTCTCTGGAGAGCCTGGTCATTTCTTAGTCACCTCAGAAGGACAAGATAATCTCAGAAAGATATATACCTTGGCAAAATGGAATAAATCCACATGAAATCCACAGAAGATCTTCAAAGTTCTCTAGAAAATTACTTTAGCAGAAATATTTTAGCAGAGCTTAAACTATAAAATAGAGACTCTTGGATTCCCAAAATTGTACTTGTAAGATGAAACTACCTCAGAGTCCCCTATTTTTTTTTTTTTTTAATAAAGGAAGAGTGATTTAGAGGATAGAGCTGAGAATTCAGAAAATTCTTCCTAGGCTTGGAAACTTAATTGAGAAACTTGTGTCTGGTTAGATTTTAGAATTACTTTGACTAGTAGTGGTTCCTTATTTTTTGTTTTCCCCATTAGAACTGGAATATTTGTTACCTTATGTGTGTTCTGCCGTTGTAATTGGGACTGATGGGGGCCAGGTAGTTCATCTTAGTTTCACATTTCTACAAAAAGAAATTGTTCCCTTATAACTGCGTTACTGGATTATATGTGAGCTCCCATTAGCACCTACACCTGATACAGATTTTAGGCTTTGGGTTTAAAAAAAAGGTAGATAAGATTCTACATTTTTGAAACAGACATAGAGATGAGCACACTTGGTAAGATGCAGTTAGCTGATGAGGTAATGGATATGGGGCTCTGATGAAATGAGACTGGGGAGGTAGTAAACATACTTTGCATTTGGGAGAGACATGAGTCATGGAAGACTGTTCTACTTACTGTGGGGAAAGTTCAGTTTGTTTAAAATTGTAGTACACAGTTACTTTTAAAAATAAGTGTATTTGAAATTTTTATTATTACCTTTTTATAACTTTTTCTATGTGCATGAACTTTTTCAATTCAATTTTACAAGGGAATAAATTAATAGTGATATTTTAGTAAAGTAAAATAAAATACAATACAAGCTTTATATGTTTTCCAAACAGTTAAGCATTTCTAAGAAATATGGAGACATAGACACTGGTGTTCCTTGTCCCTTGTCCCTTGGCATGTGATGCCACATGCTGCCTCAGTACCTTACCAGTAAAAACAGAGCCTAACCAGGACTTTGCTGGTCCCAGTGCCATCCCTTGAACTCTAAATTTCCTGGGGTCAAGTGATCTTCCCTAGGAATATGTGTCTTCCTGATAATACCTGCCACGTTGCTTCTCAGTGTTTTCCATGGTCTGAGTGGTGTTTCCCATAAATACTTCAGCTAAGCATACCTCTTCTCAGGTAAAGCCATTAGTTGCCTGTTCAACCCTCAGGAGAAAGTAAGATGATATATATTGTACGTGGTAGAATGAGTCTACATTCAGTTTTACTCTTTAGCTGTGACACTAGATACCGTGGACAAGTAAAAATAGGAAAAATGCAGTATCTTAACTAGGGGACTGTAAATTAAAGGTCCCAAGGGTCAGTAATTCAGGCAACCCTTAGCCAGGTGGTTCAGGTTTAGAATCTCTCAGGAGATTGCAGTCATGGTGTCAGCTGGAGTATTAGTCTTCAGAAGCTTTCCTTGAGGTGAAGGATCTGCCCCTAACTGATTCACATAGATTTTGCAAGAGGCTTTAATCCCTCACCCAGCTGTAAGACTGCTTATAGCAGTAGCTTCTGCCAGAGTGAGTGACTGAAGCAAAGAACTGTATCACCAATGGTGCAAGCTGCAGTGACTTTGAGAACATATTTCAGGAATGAAGCACCAGCACTTCTGCATTTTATTGGTTGTATGACTGACATTGACACAATGTATAAATAAATCATTGGGAGCCATCTTATGCAAAGGCTGTCCTATATACAGCTAAGACTCACCATCTCACTGCGTGCCAAGAGTGGCTCAGATTTGAAAGGAATGGCATGTGCAGAGACTGTCAAGACCACTGGGCTTGTGTAAAGTCAGTGTAGTATGGAATTTATTGTGCCTGGGTGCAGGTGGTATCTTGGTTACTTTTCTCTTTTTGCTGAGTATTTGCTGAGTATTTGTTGCCCAAAATGAAGGAAGGAAAGGTTTATTTAGCTTACAGTTTGTGAAGATCTCAGTCCATGCTCAGCTGGTTCTAAGGCAGAATGGTGTGGCTAAGAAGCAAATGTTCATGGCAGCCGCAAGCAAAAAGGGGGTAAAGCAGAAAATATACCTCTTTCCCTCCCTTATATTACATGTTGGCTCCCTGCCCCTGGGTAACTGCAGCGTTCATAGCACCAATCACAAACGCTAGATTCAGCTGCCTGCATGATTGCATGAGGCTTCAGAAGGACATCCAGACACAAACTAAACAGGCAGACAGAGGGCAGAAAGGCTGGCTGTGTGGAACAGAAGCAGACTTTTTAATAGGGCCTAAAAGAAGGCAGGGGACAGAAGATGGAAAGCTCTTATGGAACATCAGTGGTCCAAGTTCTCTGGATGTCTCGTGCCTCGATGAGGAATGTCTCTGAGGAATCTGCTGTAGACGATTGGGTGTCTTCAGATGTCTTGTCGTTGGGAATATTCTATGCTCCACCTTATCTCTTATGACATCTGTGTTTGTCAAGAGCACTATTGGTGCTGAACTGAGAATCGTGCCTGTGTTGCCAGGTTGGTTGGGTACTGGCAGTCTTGTTGAAATTGAGTCAGACATCATTCAGTTAATGATCAGTGTTTCATTTATTGACTAACTTATTTTGAGCAAATGAGGATTTGTTCTTATTTTCTTGTGTTCATCTTTCTATGCCTAATGAGTTAAATGTTTTATTCCCAAAAATATGTATTATATTCAAACTGGAGTGGTGATGGGGTGGTTGTACTTACTTGTTTTATATTAATATTATTGTCAGTACTAGTGTTAATATTTTCTATTGTAAAGAATGAATAAAGAGAATAAATCTTTTGAGTTACTTGTTTCTTTATACTCTTAGTGTTGCAACCTTTTGGATTTAACATAGTTAGCTACTACTAGAAAGTTACTAAAGAGAAATATTTGAATGTTAACTTAGTGCTTTTGTTTTTTGTGTCACAGGTTTTGCAGCCCTGTGACTTGTTTTATCAAGCTACTCAGACAGGTGTAGATCCACAAGTGATGGATATATCAGTAAAGTCCCTTACACTAAAAGTAAGTTAATCATTCAGTACTTCAGTATACTTTTAAAACATTAGTAAAACCTGGAAATTATTATCAAAGCAAGTCTATGACCATTAAATAAATATAAAATGAATTTATTTTGTAGGATATTTTATGAGACATTTTCAAAATATTTCACATTTTTATAATAATTGCTATATTCTGCTGTTGACATGTGACTGCTTTTAGTAGTTATATCTAATATCCTGATATGTATAGTTAAAATATAGTTTAATATTTACAAAAGCAGTGTTATATTTTTAAAACTTGAAATTAGTTGTGATAATTCAGATTTTTGGTAGACAACAAATTGTATCAACTCTTTTCGATAGTAATGTGCAATATTAATTCCTCATGATTATGCAGAAAATGCAACTCGTATATTTTGAAATTTTTTCCATTTAGGTTTCACCAGTTATCATAAATACCATGATTACTATAACTTCAGCGCTTTATACAACTAAGGAAATGATCCCAGAAGTAACTGTTTCTTCGATAGCACGTTTGTGGGAAAAAAAGGATACAAAAGATTTAAAAATGTGGTTCCTTGAAGAATCAAGTGAAACTGAAAAAATAACTCCTACAACTGAATTGGTACCAAAAGGAGAAATGATGAAAATGAATATTGATTCTATTTTTATAGTTCTAGAAGCTGGAATTGGTCATAGGACAGTACCTATGCTCTTGGCAAAGTCACGTTTTTCAGGGGAAGGCAAAAACTGGAGCACATTAATAAATCTGCATTGTCAACTTGAACTGGAAGTAAGCATATTTAATATTTTTCTAGGTTTTATAACAATGTCATAGAATATTGTGGGAATCTTATTGAGCTATTTTGATTCAGTTTACAATAAATACAATGGCTTTACAATATTTGAAACAGTTTACATATGTGCTATTGACTGATTTTTTATATGTGTGTATTTTATTTGTAGAGTATATATCCACATTAAGTATATATTTCAACTGATTTTATATAAATTGTGACATATTAATAGTTCATTAGGTTCAGAATTTTATTTTTAAGAATTAAAATTGAGTTATTTTCTTTAAAGTACTAAATTTTTGATACAGGAATATTCTCTTCTAAAAACAATTAGAACAAAAATGCTTTGCTTCAGAATTGATCCAGATACAATCATTTTCTAAGACTATTTTGGTTTAAGTGATTTGACTATATGTATTAAAAATTAATCTGATATAGCCTATGTTATAAAAATGATTATGTAAATTTATAAACTATTATTTAGGTGTGTTGACACAGTTATACTTACAGAATTATAACTGATGAACTAGATTACAGTTTTTATATACAGATTATAATTTAGTATTTCACAGAGGATTTGATCTAGGATGTACAAGTTGTTAGAGGCATTTAAGTATTCATCAGATAATATTTGTCTTCAAGGGTTTTTAGTGAGTAAAGGAACTTGTTTTCAAATGTCAGTAATATGTGATAGATGAACATATTATTTGAATCTTAGTTCAGTCTGCAAGTCAAAGAAAAGTGTTTGAAACAGAACTAAATTGTGAGACAAATACGGACTACTGTGAGATCATCCAGGGTATGAGCATGCGGAGGACTTTGAAGCTGCTTGGTGACATGCATCTGGCACAGCCAAAAGGCTGGGTGGGGGAGTAGCACAGAAGATTTTAGAAAGTAACAGTTACTTCCTTGAAAAAAGTTCTTTAGGATATTTTTTTTTTTTTTTTAGGTTCATTATTACAATGAAATGTTTGGTGTATGGGAGCCTTTGCTTGAACCTTTAGAAATTGATCAGACTGAGGATTTTAGGCCATGGACTCTTGGAATCAAGGTATATGAGAGAGGAAAAAAAGTTCTTTTGTGTGTGTGTGTGTGTGTGTGTATGTGTGATTAAAGAGTATTTTCATAGTTTTAGCTTCACACAAGTTTGAGGAGATAGTTTTCCTATGAACCCTGTACTTCTGTGCAGTCTTTACCAATATTTCCCATCCAAGTACGTATGTACTGATGTCTGAAGTTTTTTTAAAAATGTAAGCCTGTCCCATTACAACTTTAGTTTTAATCACAGTGTTAAAAGTTTTCTCATCGTGAGCCTTGCCTACATGGTGCTATATTTGACCTCTGCGTATAATTTTGAAATCCAAGGCCAGTGTTACCTATCCTGTACAAATAATTGCATAACATTAGTTATGTACTCCAGACAGTGTTTTGAACAATATATCTTTGCTTTAACCTTTACAATAACTTCATGAAAGACATATGGTTTTTATCTACACTTGAATGTAAAATGGGAATAAGACCAGAGAGTTTAATGGACTTTGCCTTTCTAAAGTAGTACGATATAGTAGTAGCTACAGAGTAGAAGATGTGAGATGTGAATTCATTTGCAGTCTCCATTCTTAACTACTATATATTGCTATTTCATATATTAGCTTCTGTCATTCTGTAGGTTATGGTCTGTCCTGAGTTTGCTTTTTCCTTTAAAGAGACTATTTAGAAGGTATATATTTGTTTAAAATACATTATGTGTTTAGTAATTGTGAGACTTGGAACCTTTAGATGAAAGTTATGCTTTGAAAGCAAGAGATTGCAGAAATATCAGCATGGTATCTTCCTAATGTTGATGGACTCAACCTGAAAATTTTCAGAGGTTTAAAGTTACAGCATATCCCTGGCTTAGCATGTATACTTTACTGTGGTTGGTAATTTAACTTTCCAGATATTTTAGATGAAGAATTTGGAAGAAAAAATTCCTTTGGTTTTTAGGTTGGATATACATGAGCAGTGGATCCGTTAATTCTAAACTTGAGTGCTGTGCTTGCAGCGCTGTTGTGTCACTTTTGTCTGACTTTGTAAGTCCTTAGATTTCTGTTCTTTGTTAGCCTGACCAAAAGTCTACATTACTTTTTTGGTTCTGTTACTAGGAATTATATGCTTTAATTATATTTCAAAAGCCGCATACACATAGTGATTTTAGATATTTTTTCCGAAATTGTGCTTGTGACATAACTGAGGATATTACTTTCTCACACAGTGCTACCCTGTCCTTTGTGACCTCAGTTGGCATGTCCAGGTATTTCATTATGGTAGAGGCAGTGGAACACATAACGTAATTTAAATGTTTTTTCTAGTGGTATTGGAATTTAGTCTAAAATCTTTTTGTTTTGTTTAATGTATAGGATTAATGATGTTGTGCACCTAGATGCAAATTCTTATATGTCTATAATTTTAATTTTAGATGAAAAAGAAACCCAAAAAAGCCATTGTTGAGTCAGATACTGAAGCAGAAAACTACAAAGTGCCAGAGTATAAAACTGTCATCAGTTTCAATTCAAAAGACCAGTTAAACGTTACATTATCCAAATGTGGCCTTGTAATGTTAAATAATTTAGTCAAGGTAAGAAACTTAAAATTAAATGTTGAGATACTAGTCTTTGTTGACCCTTTTGTTGAAAAAATCATCATTTACTTATTTGTCTCACATCCCTTAATATGCTGTTTATCATTTAGTTTTCCACATTTGCCTCTTTTATTAGGCATTTACAGAAGCTGCGACTGAACCTTCAGCTCTCTTCGTAAGGGATCTAGCACCATTTATAATTTTGAATTCTCTTGGACTTACTGTATCAGTTTCACCAAGTGATGCTTTTAACGTACTCAATGTTCCATTGGCAAAATCATACACGTTGAAAAATGAAGAGAGTTTAAATATGGATTATGTAGGAACTAAGGACAATGATCATTTCAGTGCAATGACCAGTTTAAGCAGCAAACTCTTTTTTATTCTCCTTAGTAAGTGTTGTATTTATTTCTTTTTGGAAGCATTGCTTTAGTTACATTTTGCATGCCATATTATCCACTGGTATATTACAATTTATTTGTTTTGTTTCTAAATCTTTTGTAATAGGTTTGGGAGCCTTTTATTTTCTTTGCAGTGCTTTAATTCCTTTTTTACTCTTTGCATTTCAAATTCTGACTTTGCTAATCTCTTGCATTAACTAGATCATGTTCTGTTATGGGTAACAAAAATATTAGCTCTTAACCAGTTTTTATTGGATCATAGATGTACTCAGATGTTTTAGTTACATATAGTATAACTTGGTAGGTGTTTGATCAGTTTTTTAGAAAAATGAATTTAGAAAAGTTTGAATTGATGCAAATGTTTTTGAGATTTACAAAAGTTTAATTATCTGCCAGTCAAGACAAAGGGCCTTTCTTTTAGTTTTTCTGATCCACAAGTTTTTCATTTCTGTAAGTGGTGAAAGTATGTAAATTCTTAAATTATCAGAACATCTAGCCATCATGAATTGAAATAGCCCAAATCCTCACCAGTAGGACTTTTGACAGCCTGGTATTTAGGAAATCATAGAGGCAGGGAGTGTCATTTAAAGGTTACTTAGGAGTAGTGAGGCAGGCTGCTAGAATACAGCTAGTTCTTGTCAGAAAGCCATGCATAGCAGCTCTTTCAGGTGTTGTCAGAGCATTGCCAGTGTTCTTGTAATCAATTTTATGTATTTTTAAAAATGTGGATGTAGGAGTGAATAAAATTTATGCAAAGAAATAATTTTACCCCCAATATAATGTGCATATTAGGAAGATATGTTCAGAAATTGTTTAATCAAATCTAAGGTACATCTAAAAAATGACACAGGTAGTTGGAAAAATTAAAAACTGAAGAACAGTTATGTAGGTATTTGGTAGTGTGTGAAAGTATTAGGCTGTAGTTATTATGACAGTATACCAGAGATCACTGTTACTGAATTTTGTAATTCTTCTCATTTCTCAGTTGTTTTAAAAGATTTGGTATTATTTTAGGTTAAACTCTTGAATGATATTTTCTCAGTTAAAAATGTCAGTGCTGTGGAAATAAGTAGTAGCTTCTTAAAGTATCCTTTTGTGTGGATTATATCCAAAGACTTCAGTGACTTATTCATAAGTTTACAGCAGTCAGTATGTTTGATATTTACCGTGTACCTAAAATAAATATATGATGAATTATAAAAATTTCCAACATCAACTTTTAATTTAGCACCTGAGAACCACTCTACTGCCGATAAGATTCCTTTAACAAAAGTGGGACGACGTCTGTACACGGTGAGACACAGAGAATCTGGAGTTGAAAGATCTATTGTTTGTCAGATTGATGCGGTGGAAGGAAGTAAAGCAGTAATAATCCGCTCACCCGTGCAGGTATGAAATCTTTGATTTTAGGAGGTCTTATTATGCTTATCTGGAATTAATAAAGCTTTAAAAGTGCATTACTATCAAAAGAATACAAACCGTAATAGAAGTACAGCTAAAAGAAAGAAAAATCTGACAGCCAATAATTATACTACTGTAATCTAACTGGTGGAGAATTCCATTCAGTGCACCTTTTACACAGTTTTTAAGCAGCAAACTCTTTTTATTCTCCTTAGTAAGTGTTGTATTTATTTCCTTTTGGAAGCATTGGACTTGGAAGCACAGGACTCCTTTACATACATGTACATTTCACCCCCTTTTTATACTAAGAAATTTTTTAGAGGATAGTTTACAGCTTTATTAAAGAATGTATAAATTACACATATTTGACACAGTAATATAGTTATAAACCTTCAAAATTCAAGGTAATAAGTATGAATGTGTCCACTGATGTGTCTAACTTACATTAGTCTTGAATTTTATATAAATATATTGGAATAAAGAATAGAATTAATCTGGCTCGTTTCATGCTGCAGAATTTTGTATCAGTTTCTGTATTGTTACATACAGCTACCAGTGTTTCCTAAGAACTAATCTATTGTGGGTTTCCATTTTGAGTGAATTTCTGTATATATTGAGGTAAAAATTGAGAAATTTTTAAAGATACTGGCTATCCAGTTGTTCCAACTCAGATTATCTTTGTCCTATTGAATTGCGTTGATATTTTTGTCAAAAACTAGCTTACCATATATACTGATGGTATTTTTCTGGGTTGTACATTCTGCTTCATTGATCTATTTATCTTTATACCAGTATTACGCTGTCTTGATTACTACCGTAATATAAAGAAATTAGGTAGTACGAGTTTATGGTTTTGGCTCTTATAGGTCCGTTTCATTTTCATTTAAAGTTTGAAATCAGATTATCAATTTTTATCAAAACTTCTCAAAATTGGCTGAATTTTTAATTTTAATTTCTGGTTTTCTGCTACCATCGTTTAGAAATATGATTTATTTTTATATTCACTTGCATTGTCCAACCTTACTGGACTCATTCGTTCTATTAGATGAGACAGTTCTGTGGGTATCAACAATAATGATACCAGCAAGTACATTTTTTACTTCGTTTCCAATCTGTGTGTTTTATTTTTTTTCTCGTCTTTTCTGTGTTAGCTGAAAAGATTTTTAAAAATTTGTTAATATGCATTACATTGAGTTTTACATGTTAGATCAGCTTTATATTCCTAGAAAAAAATCTCACTTGATCGTAAAATATTAAGGTTAGTATATTATTGTGTTTGATTTACTAAAAGTATGTTTAGAATTTTTGTGCTTGTGTTCATGAGGGATCTTGATCTGTAGTTTTGAGGTCTTAAGGAATGGTTAACGTAAGTGATAAAGTGAATAGAAAATTTAGGTGGAATTTTGTTTATAATTTTAAAAATTTGGTAGTAGAACTTATTCTTGATGTCTATTGAATTCTCTGAATATTGATTTCTGGTTTGATACAGCTTTACTTTAGAAACATTTTTCAATTGTATTTTTTATTTTGAGAAATTTTTATAATATATACCTTTATCCACATTATGAAATACAAGAAATGTTATTTTAAAACATTTGAAGTTAACTATTTTGTTTCTTTTAGTCTACGTTCTCTCCTTTTCCTTTCCTAGAAAAAAACACTATTTTAGTAACCTGGCATATATATTTCTTTTCCTATATCTTTAATTCTTAAGTATGTCCATAAAATATATACTATTTGTGTCTTGAATGGTAGTAGTATATTCTGTTACTTGCTCTCTCTTTTTTTTTTTTTTTTTCCTTAAAAATCGGTGTTGTGAACATGACTAACCTCTGGTGCATGTATGTAACTGTTTCAATATATAACAAGGAAAAATAATTGCTATGTAATAAGGTGAATTTCCATTTTTACTAGGTTTTTCTGAATTATTTTAAAAAATTATTTTGTCGTTTTTACCGGTAATGTAGGAGTGTGCTATTCTTACCATTTTATAGCTATTAAATACAATACTTCTGATTATGCTAGTCTGTTAGTGTGAATAAAATTATTGTGTGTGATTATTATTTTAACCTCTTCTATTGATTCCTGGACATGTTATCTTTTCATCTGTTTGGGCATCATTTGTTTGTATTGTTTACATTTGTCTTTTAATTACAGCTTAAAGAGTATTAGGATTTTTTGTGTGTGTATCTGGTTATAAATCCTTTGATAAATATATTTCAGACATTTTCTAGCCTGTGAAATGTTTTTCACTTTCATGTCATAAATGTTTTAAATTTTGATACAGCTTTTTCTGTGGATTGTTTTTCTGCTGTTTTTGTCTAGACAAAAACATGTTTCTAAACAAATTAACCTCTACCCTAAGGTCAAAGAGATTGAAAGTTTCAGGATTGCTTTGCTATAAAATTGGAAACATTGATGTAATTTTAGGATAAATAGTTGTACATTTACTTTTTCTAATTTAAATGAACAAGACACATGGGATCAGTTTTAAAAGAACTTATTTTTTAATGTATTTAAGTTTTTAATTATTAATATTGAGTGCAGCATCATTTGTTTTTTTTCCCCCAGATTAGAAATCATTTTCCAGTACCAATTTCTGTTTACGAAGGAGAAAAATTATTGGGAATTGCTTTACCTGAGAATGAATTCAACATACCATTAGCATCTTACCGGTGATTTTATGTTTTTCTTTGCTATGTGTTTGTTTATAGAATTTTTATTTTCAAGTTTATGTGAATATTTTTCTTTAAATTATCAAACCTACCTTATTAAATACCTACATTATTTAGATTTCAGGCACTTAGAGTGTCTCTTTCCAAAAAGAAATATTGTTTAGTGTAAATGTATACATTCTTTAGGCTTTTAATTTATACCAGGTAAATTGTTTATGCTTTCCTAATAAATACAATTATTAGTTAAATAGTCCTTTTAAAAAGGAATATTATTTAATATATTTAATTTATGCCATGCGAATTATGTTTTTACTAATACATATAATTAGTATGCTTACAGTTTGAACCGTCATAACCATTGTCATATACATTCATGACTTTTAAAAAGAACTAAAGGAATATGACAGATAGTTTGGGGATTTATGTGTTGTAAATTGAGTCTTAGTTTTGAAAGGCTTTATAATAGAGTTCTTTGAAATATTTTTAGAAAACAGTATTTTATCTCTGTATATATGTCTGTTAATTGTTAAAAGATAGAGGTTAATGTAAATGCAGTACTCTTCAATATCTACTTGGTATTCAGTGTACTTTTAAAGATTAGCAAAATAATTATGATACTAATATGGTAACAAAAATTCTCAAGATTGAAAATAATCTCTTCTCTGGAAATTGAGCTCTTTTGGAGACTAAAACCTTCCCTAAAATTAAGCATTATAATTTGTTAAATGCTGTTTAAAAACATGTACTAGAAACTGACACTGACACTTCCACTAGTGCTACAGAAAACCTAAAAAGGCAAAGTTAAAAGTAGTTTGTAATTGTTTCCTAGCTCTATTCCTTCTGACTTGGGCTGAGAAGTTAGGACAGGACCATGGTGACAAGTCTGTACCCATGTTCCACGGCTATGTGTTATCATTGAAAGCTGTAGAAGGTTTACTGTTGCTGGTGTAGGTTTGTAGTGAACAGAAAACAGGCTAGAATGTTTGGGCGTATACTTACACATAGATCTACAAACACTAATGGGTGTTTGTTTCAGATATGCCGAGGGAAAGATTGAGAAGACAGCAACAAAAAATAATTGTTTACAAATCTGATCCTCTAGAAAGAATTTGGCTATGGTTATAAGACTGCATGAAGTTAAAGATATGTTTCAAACTTTCTGTAAAGAACTTTAAATTCATGTTGTTTTTACATACTAGTTAATAGCATTCTTTTTAATAAATTTCTGCTATGTACGCTATGATTCTGCCATACTAGAGATCATAGTACTTTATGGTCTGTTGTTCAAGGTTAAATAGTAATTCACTACATAATAGTTAATCTATCTTAATTGTTATTACCAGTAGTAACCAGTTTGGTGTTTTCATAATCCAGATGCTTTTAATCCACTGCTTAGATGTAGGTTCACTTAAATGTTGAACATATGAGGCATTAAATTAACAACTGATTACCTTTCTCTATAGACTCTGAATAAACTGATTCTTAAGTTTAACGTACTTTAATAACAAATGCTTACAAAGTATTTTGTTATGGGTGAAACACTACAGATACCTAAATGGATTAGATGTTCCTGTTACCATTAGAGACTGACATATTATGGAAACACATACATGGAAACTTGGGTTTTAGACAGTTTCAGAAAGTGTTACAGGTACAGGAAACTTTGGAAAACGAAAGCTCTCAATGATTGATTCCTGATGGAAGTATATAAAATTAAGGTAAAATATAATGTTGAGACTAGATTGGAAGAGCAACCTAAGTAAGAGAAATTACATGAACAAAGGCTTAAAAGGATAGGGAGTACATATAGAGTTATAAAGACAGGGATTTCCTCATTGTATAGTGTGGAGTACTTATTGGATGATGAAATTTGAAAAATAATTTACATTTAATTAGTCCCTCATTTACTTGCTCCTGCTTTTGTAAATTTTGTAAAAATTGTTGCATCTAAAAACATTGTTGAAATGTAAACAAAAAGTGTGATACACAAATGTCAAGAATAACAATGTGATATACAATGGTTTTGTTACATTTTCTTATAGCATTATTCTGCATTTATAAATGTCATTGAAACATTCGTTTCTTTATTGTGGATACCTGACAATGATTTTTTAATAGAAATTTTTAAAAATTTTCTGTTAACTTAGTCATTACAGTTACTTCTTTCTAGGACCACATTCTTTGAAAGCCAGTTTCTTTTAGTTAAATGTGTAAGCCATAGATGGTTGTTAATGGTTTGCTTTGCATATATTATCAATATAATATTATATTTTCTGTAAGAAACCAGTTATTACCTTGAAAATGTATTTTTAAAATAGTGATATAGTATTCTAATACTCAATTTCATAAATTTTTAGTAAATTTATTTTTTTTTATTGGTACCAGGGATCGAACTCACGACCACGTGCTTGCAAGGCAGGCGCTTATGCCGCTGAGCTAAATCCCTAGCCCAAGTTTTTAGTAAATTCAAATGATACTTACCTAGTTCTAAAAGTTATATGAAAATGTAAAAATGTATTAGTTTTAGAAATAAATTCAATTTAAATCTGTAATCATATAGTTTATTTTCTTTCCAAGCTTTTTGAAGTGTATCATTTATTGTTTTATGTAGATCATTCCTTTTTCTGAAGCCAAAGGATGAGGACTATCAAATGTGCCAAGGAATTGACTTTGAAGAAATTATAAAAAATGATGGAGCTGTTCTGAATAAGAAATGTAGATCTATAAACCCTTCTAAGAAATCATTTATTATTAATATTGTTCCTGAAAAAGATAATTTGACCTCTCTATCAGTATATTCAGAAGATGGATGGGACCTACCATACATAATGCATTTGTGGCCACCAATCCTACTCCAAAATCTTCTTCCTTACAAAATTGCTTACTATCTAGAGGTATTCTGGAATTTGGGGGTTCTGGGGAGCAGACTGGGGATGCAAGAGAAGTGCTCCTGACTTGGGCCTTGTACTTTGAATTGTTCAAAACTTTTTATTGCTCATAATTTTAAAGTTGTAATGCAGGCAGTAGTACTAACAAAGAATAACAAGTACATACAGATATTCTAGTGGAAATATTTTAATTATCTATAAAAATATAATTTAAAAGTAAGTGTTTTCCACTATTTTATCTTAGAAATCTGATTACTAAGGTAAATGCTAATTATGTTATATATTATAATGTAATACAGTTCTTTCAAAAATGTATAGATTGGGGCTGGGGATTTAGCTCAGCGGCATAAGCACCTGCCTTGCAAGCAGGCGGTCATGAGTTCAATCCCTAGTACCGACAAAAAAAAAAAAAAAAAAAAAAAAAAAAATGTACAGATTAAAGATAATAAAGTTGCTTATAATCATGATTAGAATGTATTACTTATTTTAGGAGATACATTTTTCAGTCTTTTTCATGTAGGTGTATTTCACTTATGTATTTAGTGATTTCTGAAGCATACCAAGATCAGTATTGAAATAACATATTCAAGTACTATATTTGAGCAAAATCTTTTTTGTACTTTATACAGTTTTTTTAGTCTTAATCCTATAAAAGTATCACATGCTCTATAATAATGTTTTTTCTTAAATGCTAACAGATTTGTTGTGGTTCCTTCCTGTTATAAGAAGGGGATTCTATTTTGCAAATTTATGAGACTATTCTGTCATACCTGATGAAAAAAAGGTGGCTTTTCACTAAAGTGTACTAGTTCTAGATTGAATTTATTTTGACAGTTACTATATGTTAGAACCTTTGCTGGTTACATTTTTGGACAGATATGTTTTTCTATTTGGGTGACAGAAATTAAGAGTTTGCATATTGCTGTCAAATTTGAGATTGCATCCTAATAACATTCACTAGTTGTGTGATGTTACATAAGCTATATCCTTGATTAAAATCTTTTTTTAAAATAAAATGAGGATAATAATAAAACTTGCATGATTGGACATGGAGAAAATCAAATTTAGAATATGTAAAGAATTTAGCAGTAGTTGTCATTTATTACCTATTCTAACACCATCATCACCATCATTATTTGTGGAATTTTTTAATATATAAAAATGCAAATTGGCATTGCATTTGCTTTAATGAATTTAAAATGTTACAATTAAAATTCCTATTAACACCAAGATTAAGCTAGGGAAGATATTGGAAAACTAGTGAGATATATAGGTGCAATATTTACTCTTCATTCTCATAGAATTTTTAATTTGATGCTTTTAGAAATAGTATTCTGCTTTCCAGTTTCTAAAGGATATGATCTGTTTTTATGAAGACAGTTTATGTTAGATATTTAGAAAGGGACTAGAGTAGGCCAGTGTGAGGAGGAGACTCCAAAACTGATTGGTCACAGATCTTAGAGCTAAGATAATGGAAGTGGGAGTGGAGAGAAACGGATGTTTTGAGAAATATGGAAGACCCAATATAAACAGTAACTGGAAAGAAGTCAAGGGACTGTTGAAAATCAGCAATGGAAGACTGTAAAGATTTGATGTTTTGATTACCATCAGTTTTCTTCTATGTTTTTTCATTATTTTGTTGTTTTCAAAACTACAGTTCATAGAATTTTTTTCGAATTAGTTTGTTTTACTAATTATAGAGTTTTATGTATTTAATTTCCTGCGAAGTTTTACATTGTTATTTTCACAGTAATCCTTTGAAATAGGTTATTTAGACCAGTTTACAAAATATTGTCTAAGACTAGATTAAATGTTTTTCAATTTATACAGTTGACTTAATGTTTGAATGTAAGTCTTCTAAACTTATTCTGGTATTTTCAAGAGCATTTTGTGTAGCATTTGGAGTAATGAAATAAAATTTTGGGGCATATTATTCAAAGACATTTTTAAATTTGTTCTTTTCCTTTTTTTCATTACAGGGGATTGAAAATACAGTTTTTACTCTAAATGAAGGACAGTCCACCCATATTTATGCTGTACAAATGGACAAAGCCAGATTTCATTTAAAATTACTTAATTATCTTAATCACGACTGGAAAGGTGAATATCAAATAAGAGCTAATCAACAAGACATTAGTTTCATCACTTTCACCTGTGTTACAGAAATGGAAAAGACTGATTTAAATATCGCTATCCACATGACTTACAATACTGGGCAGACTGTGGTGGCATTTCATAGCCCATACTGGATGGTCAATAAAACTGGTCGAATGTTGCAGTATAAAGCAGATGGCATTCATCGAAAGCATCCACCTAATTATAAAAAGCCAGTTATCTTTTCTTTTCAGCCAAGTCACTTTTTTAATAACAACAAGGTATGTAATTTTTTTTTTGCTAACTTTGGCTATTTGTCACTTCTTTTCAGAGTTTAGAGTTACGAGGAATAAAATAAAATTTAAGTGGAAATAATAACACAATGTTTAGTTCAGGATAAAAAGAAAATTTATTAGTTTTGGTTTTTGTTTTTTGGTGTTTTTGATACAGGATCTTACTGTGCAGTTCAGGCTGGCATTGAGCTCACTTTGTAGCCCAGGCTAGTCTCATAGTTGCAATGATCTCTCCCAAGTGTTGGGATTACAGGTGTCTTTCACCATGCCAGCTTAAATAAGCATTTTTAAAGATACCTAATAAGTAATACATTGCAAATTTTCTTTCCTAGGTTCAACTTATGGTAACTGATAGTGAGTTGTCAGATCAGTTTTCAATTGACACAGTGGGTAGTCATGGAGCCATTAAATGTAAAGGCCCACAGTTGGATTATCAAGTAAGTTTATTCTGTGCTCAAGAAACTTTTATTTAACGTGTATCTATTGATTACTTTTTATAAGGGTAGTAACATAATATAGAAGTTTTTTGAACTGTTAATTTTATCTATAGGTTGGTGTCACTATAAACCTCAGCAGTTTTAATATTACAAGAATTGTGACATTTACTCCTTTTTATATGATTAAAAACAAAAGCAAATATCATATATCAGTGGCTGAAGAGGGACTTAATAAATGGCTCTCTCTTGATTTGGAGCAGGTGAGTAGATGAATTTCAAAAATGTACCTCATCAAGTTCTCTTTTCTTCTTTAAATTAGATTCCTGAAAAGAATATAAAGTATTTTAACCTTCCTCTACCCTAGTTTTGCCACAGACCTTTATTGAGTTTTTGTGGTAGGCTATGGGTATTTAATTAATAAGAACTAAACCTTACCCCTCTAGGATCACAAAACCAGGAAGGTAGGTGTTTAACAATTACTTAACCAGTTTGATTAAATACTGCAGTATAAGAATGTATAATGTGTAAATGCATGAAAGCAGAAAAAATGGCTTATTTTCATCCAGAAGCTTTAAGGAATTCCTTCATAGAGTAAAACAAACTTTCCTTTCCATTATTTGAATAAGATCATTACAGTGAAATTTTAATTTTAGATCATCATTAGCTGCCAGACTTCTTGATAGGTTTTTTGAATGATTGAAGTTGATAGAATCTTTTACTGTTGAAGAAATTTAATTCTCAGTGTAAAAGATGTGTTCACTGTATTCATAATTCTTTATTGTATATGAAACTGCTTTGGGGAACATTTTCCTTAAATTTTTAGAATTTCCTTTAGAGCTGATTTTGAAAATAGGTATCAGTTTGTGTAATACCTGTAAAGCTTTTAGCATTGGCTTTCTTTCATGATAGTTTTTCTTGATAACCAATATTAGGTGGATATTATTTTCAACATGTGGAATATACTGCATTGCTTTCTCTGGCTCCCATTTTTTCATTGCAGCTTAAGTGGTGATTATGCCAGTACTTTGGAAGTGGCTTTCTTTTTCTCTGGCTCTCTGGAAGAGTTTGCTTCTCACTGTCTTTGATGTTCATAGTCACATCATTATGTGTCTGCATATATGTTACTTGGTATTTATCCTTCTTGAGATACTCTGCTCCTGGATGTATGGAGTCATCTGCTGCATGTTTTCTGTAAAACTTACCACTAGTGTCTTAGACATAACCTCACCTTTGTTTTTCCATTTTCTCCTTCTGGATTCGTGGTTAAACCAAACATTCATGTTCTTCCTGTTTCTTGTCTCTTTTATCTTTTCCATCTGTATACCTCTCCCTGCTGTATTCCAGATAAATTTTACATGTGTAATTTGCTTTTTTTTTTTTTTTTAACCTTTTCCATGTCCAAACTGCTGCTTAAGACTGCAGGTAAATTTTTAAATTTGAATAATTGCATTTGTCATTTCCGTTTTTCTAATTATTCATTCTTTATATAAGTATTGTGAACTTTTGTGCATTTTACAGTGTATCTGTTAACAAAATCACAACATGTAGTTTTCAATTCAGTCAGAGCAGAGGGAGCATTAATAATGGCATAGTAAATTACAAGGTAGGAAATCTAGTGGAAGAAACAGGAAGCAGGTTAAGATTAAGGGTATTGAGAGTTCTGAAAAGCAAGGGATAGGCAATAATTTTTAGTAAAATGAGTTGGGCATAAGCGCCTGCCTAGCATAAGTGCAAGGTCCTGAGTTCGAGTCCCAGAACTGCCCTCCCCCCCCCAAAAAAAAACGCTTCTTTGGGCGGGGGTTATAGCTTGGTGCCTGCCTGGCAAGCACAAGGTCCTGAGTTCAATTCCCAGTACCCCCTCCCCCCCAATTTTTTTTTTTTTTTTTAGTAAAATGATCAGGATAGGACTCATTGAAGTCATGTTTAAACAAAGTGTTGGAGGATATGAAAGAGCATCAGGAGTTCAGCTGACTGGGAGAGAGCTGAGTTGACAGAAATAAGGAGTCCCGCAAAGGTAACAGTTACACCTTTATTTACTGTAAGTAGTAAGAGTACAAGGCTAAACAGAGAAAACATTCATTGCCTGTAGTTTATTTTCCTCATCTAGTGATACCAGTCAAGGGCCAGGCAGACTAGTACACTTGTGAGGGTCGCCTTCAGCAATTTTATGAACCTGGGGATAGAAGAGAAACAAAGAACAGACAAATACTGAGCACTAAAAGTAGGAAAAAAAATGTCTTCCAAGTTCTCTCCATCCTCTTTCCTTTCTGTATGATGCCAAGATCACATCTCTAGCTTTGCTTTGCTTTGGATGCTTCACAGATACCTTTCTATACATACAGTTTTATCTTGATTTATGAGACTCACAGATACTGTTGGGTCTTGGGTATCTTTTAAAAACAATCTTTAGACTCTTTCAATGGTTCATATTTTCATTATGCAATTACAAATGCATGATGGCTTTTTAGAATTATACATTATTACATTTCTCTTTGTGTCTTTTTGTTTTCTATTTCATCTTAAGGTAAATTTTCTTATACTAGTTTAAAATTTTTCTAATGGCATACAGTAGTCAACTTTAAAATGCATACCCATGATTGCTATTATTTATTTATTTATTTTGATACCAGAGATCAAAGCCATGCCTTGCACTTAGCAGGCAGGCATTTATGTTGCTGAGTTAAATTATGGGTATGTTGGCCCACATATGAATAATTATATTACCTCTTAATTTGTTAAATCTACAGATCCATATATATTCGCACTACAAAAGACAAAAATTTTAGCACTTTGTCTTCCGAAGGTCCTGCACATAACATTTTAAAATGACAGTATACATTATTAGTCATGAAGGATACAGCATTAAGCCAGTGCTGCCAAAGAACAGCAGGCTTAGGAATGTTTAGAGTGCAAATCATGCTCAGCCTCTTGATTTCACATGGGAAATACGTTACGGTTTAACTCTACCAGGTCAGTTCCTTTGAGAATTCTTGTGTGGAGGAACCTTCGGAGTTTGAATTGTTGAGGTTGTGCTCTATCTATTTTCATTTTCTGGTTGAATAAAACCCTTTAACAATGGAGATTCTTTACCTTTGACAACTGGCTACTGTTACTGATCATTCTCAGGTTCTGTATTTTCATGAGTAGGGATCACAGAGCCTCACTGAAGACTAGGATGGGATCAGACTGGCCGAAGGAGGAGTTGACTTCAGGGTTTTAGACAAGACTGCTTCGACATTATTTATTCCTTAGCCCTTCTCTTCATGTCCAGCTCCTCCGTCTTTCAGTACCTTTTCAGTCTCCTATTCCTTTAGCTTGGTTTCCAGATCACTGTTGTCCAAGTTGGTTTTTAAAGTTTCTAAACTTCTTTCTCTGCACTTCAGTTTTTTCTTTTCCCATTTCACTCTTACTTGATGACCAGGACACTAAATTTAATGCATGTCCTGATTCATCATCTTATATATATTTTGACTTTTAATTAATTAGTCATGCCCACGATTTTTGTTTTTAGCAGTTGGATGTACCCTTGCTTTACATTGATCACCAGTGCCCTACTGCTTGGCTTAGTTTTCTTGCTAAATTTTCAGCCCTTCTTGGTAGGTTTTTGACCACATAGCGTCCTCCCAAGGGCCCTCATTACTGTAGTTCTTCAGTTCCTACCCGTTGCTTTTGTTTACAGTGTCCTCTCTGGTGACAGCTGATAACTGTTTAACCAACTCAGTAACCAAAGCAATATTGAAAAAGATTTTCTTTAAGATTTACTTAAATATGATTTTATTAAATCATATTGCCATTATTAAAATTATATTATGTATTTATAAATATATATAACATGTGTTTTAGTGTATCCCCTTTTGGCCCAAAGATGCTTCTAGTAAACTTCTTATTCAAGTTGAAAACAGTGAAGGTCCTCCCAAAAGGATATATTTTAACAAGCAAGAAAATGGTGTTTTATTGCATCTGAATGATGAGGTAAGTAAATATTTTTACTTGTATCACTAGTTAAGCTAATATATACTTCCTATATTTAACTTTCCTGTATTACATAAGTATCGTATGATATTTTCTCCTTTTTATTGAAATTGAAGAAACATTTCTCTCTATAAAAGGAAAAGGTACAAAGAGGAAGTAGAAACATAAAATATTATATAGGAAGTTAACAGGAGTGCGTAGAATACAAGAGTACACCACATGTGGAGTTTCACTCATCTGTATACAGTAGAGAATCATGGTCTCCCAGAAATGCATTACAAAATTCTGAGTTTTCTGAATTACTTTCCAAAATTAACTTACCACATTATAAAAAGTTTTATTATTAAATGGTCTTTGTTAATTTCTTGGCAGAATGGTCACTTCAAAGAATATTTTCCTTTCTTTTAGCTTGGAGGTATTATAGCAGAAGTTCATTTAGCTGAGCATTCTACAGTTATTACATTTTCAGATTATCATGAAGGAGCAGCACCATTCCTGTTAATAAATCACACCAGGAATGACCTCATTCAGTACAAACAAAGGTAAGAAGATAGTCACAATAGTAACTCCTGACCTTTGCAGACTCTAGGCAATGACGTATTCACTTCAAAATGTTTTTAAAAGTGAACACTAATAATATAGTTATATAAAACAATGTCTTAATTTTTTGAAAAATTTTAATGAAGTATAAATAATAGGAAAATTGCCTTGATATTGCTAATTTACTTAAGTGCGTCAGAGAGAGAAATATGGAAGAACTAAAGCCATTGTGACAAAAGCTTGATGATCATTGTATTTTATGAGAAATATGTCTGGGTTTATTGAGTCTCTTAGTTTTGTTTATTTTAAAATGTTTTTACATTTTTAGTAAATATAACATAAATGTAAATTTTCAGATTTTTGTCAAACAGTTGATATTCTCTTCTTGCAGAGGATCTGGTAAAACAACATTGTAAAAGGCCATAATTAAATGTTGTTGTTAAAACAACACTCTTAATATCACTTCTTTCAGTTTGCTGCAGTGTCATAGTCTTATTGTGCCAATACAACTTACGCAACTTACTGTAATCTCAAACTGTATTAGTTAGCTTTGTCATTGCTCAGAGACAATATCTAACACCTTCAATTTAGGAGAGGAGAGATTTAATTTGAGTCAGTTTCAGGGAGCTCAGTCCGTGGTCTGCTGGCTCCAGGGCTGACACATGCTGTCAGAAGGGCATACTGGAAAGCAGACAAGGCAAAGGGTGCTCATCAGGCTAACGCCCATGTGTATTACCCAGAGTTGTGAGACTGAAAGCCCAGCGAATTTCTTAACCCAAAGCAGTGTTGAATCAAGAAAGAGGCATATAAAGGCCTGCGGCCTCACGAGCTGGTTCCTCACACATGGCCTTCCGCAACCCCGCTCATCCCGTCCCCTGGCAGAACTTTCCTCCTCCTGCATGTAGTACAGCCCTCAGGAGAGTAATGGATGGTAGAGATCTCAGCCTCACTAACAAGGCTGTCATCCTAGTCCATGTTGTAGTAGCAGATCCATGTACAGTGCACTCCCGAAATAGGTCTTAGATTTTAAAAAGTTTTCTTAATTTGAATTGAAAGAGTAATTCATGAAGTAGCTTCAAAGACTTGAAAATCATTTCCTAAGTGAAACTAATATTTTCCTTGAAATGCTCGCATTTTCTTAGAGCATTTATTATTGCTATTATTATTATATAAGGAAATTTTAGTCTTAATCAGATCTTCCACAAATCTTAGTTAATGGATTAAGAATTGGTAAAGTATGGTTTTAAGTTTTTAAAAAATACATTCATGTTGTTGCATTTAACTTAATGTACGTTTTTGCTGCTTGCATCAGTTCTCTTAGTGAGGTAGAGGACTCTCTTCCTCCTGGAAAAGCAGTGTTCTATACGTGGGCTGATCCCGTGGGCTCTCGAAAGCTGAAGTGGAGCTGTGGGGAAAGCTTTGGTGAAGTGACACAAACAGATGTAAGTACTAGGTTATATTGTTTTTTTAAAGGTGTAGTTTTCATTCCTGCTGATTTTTTCAGGACTCTTTTCTGCTACCCATTAAAAAAAAAAAAAAAAAAAAAAAAAAACTGCCAAAGATTTTTAAAGCAGTTTTAGCTTTATCTTTTTTTAAAAAAAAACTTCGTTTCATTTTGTTAAATTCCAACTGTACACTAAATACAATTGGAAAATCAGTAAGTACCAAAGTAATTATATATCAAAGAAATAGAGTCATTTAAATTTACTCCAAAAACAGGATGCAATACTTAACCAGATGTAATGACATACAACTCACATCCCAGAACTCCACGTGGGACAGGCAGGAGGATCACTCTGAGTTTGATGTCAGCCTGGGGTATATAATGAGTTGAAGACCAGCCTGAACTACACAGTGAGGCTCTAGCTCCAAAAACAAAAAGTATGCAGCCCATAAACAAAGTTTCTTTATGTTTAAAAGAAAAGCCTATAGGATATAATAGTACTTACATATGTTTATTCTACAAAATGAACTCTCTTAATCTTTGTCTTAAAACTATTTGAAACTTGGAAGTCTTATTTTGTCTATATTGTTGTTTGCTTCTACTGTGTTAAAAAAGATAAACTCTTATTCAGTGCTTTTAACATCTGCCTCTATACCAGGCATGGTGGAACAGGCCTGTAATCCCAGCACATGAGAGTCTGAGGCCAAAAGGTCATTGCTAGTTTGAAGCCAGCCTCGACTACTTTCTTAGTTACTTTTTACTCGTCGCTGAGATAAAATGCCTGAAGCCCAAAGTTGGGAAAGGAAAGATTTATTTCTTACAGTTTTTGGAGGTTTCAGTCCACACTCAGTTGGCTCCAAGGCAGGCGGGCATGGCTGGGCCACAGTTCATGGAGGCTGCAAATAGCAAGCAGGAACCAGCAAAGTGCAAGACACACCTTCTTCCTATTATCACATCCTGGCTTCACCCCTTTGTGGGTGGAGAACTGACAGCATCAATCCAAGCACTAGACAATGAACAAATAACAAATGCACAATTCAAACTCCTGAGGCCTGGGACCACAGACATAAACCATGACAGCTACATAGTGAATTCAAGGCCAGCCTGAAGTACATAATAAGACCTTATATCAAACTGCCCTCCCAAAAAAATCAACTCATAAAGAAATTCTCCACAGTGACAGTATTCTTACTTAGATTTAACTTATATAGGAAACAATTATCAACTAAGGAAACTAAAAAGAGTGCATTTCTAAATGACAAGCTGTGTGGTAAAGTTGTAATAATATAAAAGCCAAAAATTAAAATCATAAATTTTGTTCTTCACCTTAATTTGACTTCTATTCCAGTGTCTTTTCTTTTAACTCATTTTGTCTGGTCTACTGAGAGGCTAAGAATTGTCTAAATCTCATTTGAGAGGGGTGACAGAACAGTTCATCAATATGCCTTTGTTTTAGGTTTTTTTTTTTTTTTCTGTTGCTGTTTGCTTAAGAGAAATACTCTATATCAACTTAAGATAGTTTTGTACTACTCCTAGGTTGTAAAAATGTTATGTCTATGTACATATTAATGCATAGCATTGACTTTTTAATCAAATAGTTATTTTATATACTGCATATGATTTTTGAACTTTATTTTGAGGATTAATAATATGATTAGTGTTAGCCAATATCAGGAAAACCTCACATTTTGGAGGTTTTGTGTTATTCAGAATTATTTTACTGATACATTGAGATATATACATAATGATCACATTCATCATAGGAAATTTGTACTGGTACATGATATATCTTAATTCTTTTTTCCCATTTCCATCTCTTTATCCTCTCTTCTTTTCCTTCTTTGCAAAAGTTTTCTTTCCATTTTTCCTTCCATTCTCTTTTTTTTTCTTTTCCTTCCTTCCATTTCTGCCCCCAACCCTCCCGTCCCTTTTGCTTTTCCCATGCTAAAGTCAGGGTTTACAAGAGAACAGATACAATGCAAGACACATAATTTATAGGATTATTTTGACCCTAAGAGTCAAATGTGAGAGTGCAGGACATCTGTCCACACTGGAGACCCAGAATCCAGCTGAGGGTCTGGATCCGATAGTATTGTGCTACATGAGTCCAGCTGAAGACCAGGAGCCCATGTCAGTGTTTCTCCATGAGTCCAGCTGGAGGCTGAGAGCATATGCAATGTCTCATGCAAGTCTGTACAAGGAGCTGCACTGGGAAGGCCCAGAAGTCAGTGGTGGAAGCTAGAAAGTCTGGACCAGTGGGCCAAAGGATCTGAGCCAGCAGGCAGAGGCGGCTGCGCTGGAGCCAGGAAGTAATGCTTAAAGCAAGAACCAGAGCTCCCCTGAAAAGAACCAGTCATCCTCAGCAACAGCGAGGAGCCAAGCTTCTCCAATGATGAGAACAGCCGAGTTCATATCAGGAAAACCAGTGTGACAAACTTCTCCAGGAAAATCAGCAGCGCACCATCTTCTCTTCTTCTCCTTTTAATGTTGTTAGCAACAATCTTGAGGTGGGCCTGCAATACCCAGCACCACAGTGACTCAGTTTAGCTGGGTGTTCTAAGTTGACCATTAATTATCAATCCACCATGTCCCATTTGAACATTGTGTTCCTATTTCACAACTTGTATATATTTTCATCCTCATTGACCCTTTCATTTTCTCACACTGTAAAATCAATTAATATTTAAACATGAATGTTTGATTTATTTCACTTAGGAGTATGGTCTCAAGGCCAGAGATTTAGTTCAGCAGCATAAAGGCCTGCCTGGCAAGCGCAGCGTCTTGAGTTCGATTTTATGGTACCCAAAAAAAAAAAAAAAACGTATAGCCTCAAGATGCATCCATTAAGCTAGAAATGTTTTATATTCATCCTGCTTTATGACTGAGTAGTACTCTATTGTATTTCTAAAAACTCACATCTTTATCCATTCATAGGTTGGTAGGCATCTGGGCTGTTTCTAAGATTTAGCTATTACAAACTATGCTGTATAAACATGGATGTGCATGTATCGCTGTGGTTATGATGCTTTTAATTCTCTGGGGAAGATATCAAGAAGGGGAATAGCTGAACAAAGTGGAACCTCTTACTTTTAGTTTTTTGAGGAATCTACACTGATTTCTGTATTGGTTGAACCAGTCTGCACAGCTACCAACAGTGGAGAAGGGTTCCCTTTTCCCAATAGCCTTACCAACATTTCTTATTGGCTGCTTTTGATGATAGTCATTCTCTTTCTAGAGTTAAGATGAAATAAGTCATGTTTAACATTTTTTCATATATTCGTTTGCTGGTTTACTTCATCTGAGAAGTGTCTGTTCATTTCAGATGTACTTTGTTGGATTGATTCTTTAAGTTTGAAGAGTCTGAGTTTTTTTTTTTTTTTTTAGTTCATAATATATTCTGGGTATTAGTCCTTTGAAGAATAGCTGCTATCCTTCATAGGGTTTTTGGTCTTTATGGAAAGATTTTATGTTGAACCATCTCTGCATTTCTAGGATAAAGCCTACTTGGTCAGTGTGTATAGTATTTTGAGGATTTGCTGCATTGTTTGCTATCTTATTGAGAATTTTTATATCTGTGTTCCCTGAGGAGATTGATTTGTAGCTTCTTTTGATTGGTTCCTTCTCTAATTTTGGTATCAGCATAATGCTTGCTTTCAGGAGTGACTTTAGAAGTATTGTTTCCCTTTTCATTTTATTGAAGAGTTGAGGAGTAGTGGTATTAGAGCTCTAAATTTCTTACAGAATTCAGCAGCAAATCCATCAGGACCCGAACTTACGTTTGTTTGTAGTTTTGAGATTCTTAAATTCATTGACTGATAATGACATTCTTATATCTTCTTGATTATACTTTGATAATTGATGTGTATGTAGAAATCTGTTTCTTCTGTATTTTCCATCTGACTGGAGTACAGTTACTTAAAGTATATACTGATGATTGGATTTCTGCAGGATATGTTATGGATATCACTCTTTTCATTTTCCTAACTACATACATTTGAGTCTTCTCTTTCCTTTTTTTTTTTTTTTTTAATAAAGTTGGCTAAGGGTTTGCCTGTTTTCATTAATCTTTCAGTGAACCAAATCTTCAATTCGTTGATTCTTTGTATCGTTTTCTTAGTTTCAATTGTATTAATTTCTGCTCTGATCTTTATACTCCTTTCTTGTACACGCTTTAGGTTTAACTTGTTCTTCTTTCTCTGTAACTTTGAGGTTCAACATTAAGTTTTATATTGAGTTTGCTCTGTTAACTAATGTGTAAATTCACCGTGTTAAACTTCCTTTATAAGACTGCTTTCTTTGCCCCCCATAAGTTCCATATGTCATATTGCCATTATCATTTAATTGTAGAAAGTGCCTAATTTCTTCTTGAATTTCATTTCATCTGTGACTCATTTGAGGTTCAGGAGTGTGTTATTTAATTTTCATATATTTATGCAGTTTCTGTGGTTTATTATACCATTGATTTCTAATTTCATTACAGATCATCTGATAATATATATGGGGTAATTATAATTCCTTCACATTTACTTAAGTATGTTCTCTGAGGTAGTATGTGGTCTGTTTTGTAGAACATAGTATGCATAGCTGAGAAAAATGTGTATTCTGTTGTTGCGTGGAACATTCTTGATATCTACTAAGTCATTTTGTTCAAAAGTGTAGTTCTGCTCTGGTAGTTCCTTTTTTTAAAAATCTAATTGTCCTATTTGTGACAGTGGAGGATTGAAGTCCCCCATTATAATTGTTAATGCTTATTTGATTTTTTATGTCCATTAATGTCTGTATTATTATAGTATGGTGGGCAATACTTGGTATACTTTCTTTCATGATTGTAATTTCTTCCTCATGGATCATTATCTTCACAAATGTATAGTGATCTCTTTTGTCTCTTCTGAACAGTTTTGGCTTGAAATCCTGAAAACAGATTATCTGTCCTTGCTTTTTTCTGGGTTCCTTTCACATGGAGTATTGTTTTTCATCCTAAGAGTTTCAGTCTGTGAA